AGAAAATCCAACATATGGATAGGCAGAGTCCCTGAAGAAGAGACCCAAAGCAAAAGAACAGAGTGGATACTAAAAACTCATTCAAGGAAACACCCCCCCCCCCTTTTTTTTTGAGAGGGAGTCTTGCTCTGTCGCCCAGGCTGGAGTGCAGTGGCTGGGTCTCAGCTCACTGCAAGCTCCGCCTCCCGGGGTCTAGCCATTCTCCTGCTTCAGCCTCCCAAGTAGCTGGGACCACAGACGCCCGCCACCTTGCCCGGCTAGTTTTTTGTATTTTTTTAGTAGAGACGGGGTTTCACCATGTTAGCCAGGATGGTCTCGATCTCCTGACCTCGTGATCCGCCCGTCTCGGCCTCCCAAAGTGCTGGGATTACAGGCTTGAGCCACCGCGCACGGCCAAGGAAACACCCCTTAACGCATGGAAGCTGCGCATTGAAAGAGCAAATCACGGTTGCGTTAGAATCGCTGGACTCCAAAGGAAGTCACCGATCCTTCCTGGCAGAAAGCGTGGATGACTTGGAAAGTCAACACGACTGTGCTCGGACTTAGCACTTTATGCCAGGAGAAAATGGCATTATGACTCACGGAAAAGGGACCTTCAGATGGGAAGGGCACAGACAGGCTACCCAGCAAGAGCCCGGTGAACCCCATTCCTCTGTGCCCTCCGAGGAACCTAAAAGCGAATGAGCCTCAGACAACTGACCAGAGAGAGGAGGGATGGGAGGAGGGTGTGAGCAGGTCAGTCTCACTGAGCACCGATCACGTCTCAGTCGGCCAAGATCTGCACATGACGGAGGGGATGCAGCCGAGAAAACAGGGGAAGGAGGACGGTTCGTGTAGCACAATCCAGGAGCCGTGCCTGGCAGTGGTAGCAGTAGCATTGTTACCCTGAGATCGCGTGTGCACCCAGCAAGAGGGTCACAATGTAGGGTATCCCAGTTCCGCCATCTCCTGCGTCTATGGAATATCCCACTTCCGCCATCCCCTGTGTCTATGGGCTATCCCATTTCCGCCATCCCCTGTGTCAATGGTATATCCCACTTCCGCCATCCCCTGTGTCTGTGGAATAGCCCACTTCCGCTATCCCGTGTCTATGGTATATCCCACTTCCGCCATCCCCTGTGTCTGTGGAATATCCCACTTCCGCCATCCCCTGTGTCAGTGGAATAGCCCACTTCCGCCATCCCCTGTGTCTGTGGAATAGCCCACTTCCGCCATCCCCTGTGTATGGAATATCTCACTTCCGCCACCCCATAGATTCCAGTTCTGCTATCCCGTGTCTATGGGGATCCTACTTCCGCCACCCCCTGCGTCTATGGGGTATCCCAGTTGCGTCATCCCATGTCTATAGGATATTCCAGCTCTGTCATCCCCTGTGTCTATGGGGTATCCCACTCCCGTCATCCCCTGGGTCTATGGAATATTCCACTTCCGTCATCCCTTAGGTCTGTGGGGTATCCCAGTTCCGCCACCCCTTGTGTCTGTGGGATATTCCAGTTCTGTCATCCCGTGTGTCCTTGAGAACCAGGATTCTTCGTGGGGCAGAAGGGAGGTGCAGATGTCACAAAGAAAAGGCTAAATGCTTTTAAACACCGTAGTCCTGAATTTTTATGGGAAGTATCAGCGTGAACTCAGGAATTTTATCTTAAAAAAAAAAAAGTATTTCCGGATTTTGCTCTAGAAACACTATCTCCGGTGGAGAGAAACCTGGACTCCCTGGAGTAGTGGTGCTGCAGATGGGGCAGGAGGCGTAGGGTTAGAGCCTGGGGCGTAGGGGTTGGTCGCCTTCGCCCCCAATGCCCTCGGGGCCTCAGCCGAGTTCTTCAGTTAGAGAAGGACAGTGATAGTGTTGGCCATGGATTAAATGTGGTAATCCACAGAACACATTTAGCCCAGGGCCAGGCGTCTGGGGACACTGCCCTCCCCCAAGGGTAACTGCTGCCACCATCGGAGTGGCCCCGGCCCTCATTGTTTCTTACTTTCTTAATTGAATGAGAACCCTTATGCTTCCTCACTGTGCTCTTCTCTGTCTGGGAATTCGCTGAATCCCTTTAAAGATGGTGCTGTGAGGTGGAGACAACTGTTAGCCTCATCGCTCCTGCGAGGCTTCGGCTTTGGCGTCGGTTTCGGCTTTGGCTTCGGTTTTGGCTTTGCGGCTGCGGCTTTGGCTGCGGCTGCGGCAAGCGGAGGGGCCCATCTTGGCCCATGCGTGGTGCAGACAGAAAGTCTTGTCAGAACCAGTCTGTGCCTGTGAAGCGCGGTTTCCTGGGCCTTACTGAGATGCAGCACGGGAATGTTTGCGCAGAGCCCAGGAATCTGCAGGATGTAAAAGAGCCCTGCTTTTTAAGTAATTAAACCCTGTCCATTTAACAGTGCTTAACTCATACTTAGAAAAAGTAGTGCAGAGATGCCTGTAGAGAAGCCAAATCGCCTACGGCCTAAAGCGGAAAGCAGCTCCCACCTCCTGCCCTCCCCCACTCCCAGTTTGCCTCTAGAGGAAGGAGCGCCTCCATGCACTCTTTGGGGATCTCCCTGGTTCTAGGTAAAGAGCTCACGCAATTGCTTTGCTAGTTGCGAATCTAATGGGAGTTGAGGACATGGCTCCCACATCCTCTCCCCACTCTCTGCGCACTGCACGCCCGCCCCAGTGCCCCATCTTAGCTGCCACTGTCACAAATTTTGTGTTCAGAATTCATGTCGTCATGACTGTAAATGCTGTTCATAGCTGAGTCACAGGCAGCATTGCTATACTTTATTTCTTCACAACCTCGGAAACAAAGCAATTATTTTAATTAAAGGGGGAGAAGCACTTGTAAGGTTCACATAGTATGGCTCGGTTTATGGTGACAAGCAAATCTCTTTCCTATCCGTTCCTTTCTGTCCCCTTCAGTCACACCGCCTCGAGGCAAATAGCTTTGATGTTTGTTTTTAATTCTCTCTATATCTTTAAGTAATGAGCTTATAACGTACAACATTTTAAAATGTTGACAATGCAGTGGGCTCCATGCCATCTCTCCAAAAGGTTCCCCCCTTCCTGACTTCACCTGGAGTTTTTTCTTCTGCCGAAGGTGATTCAAGAGCCATATTCAAATACTCTGCCTTGGAATAGTGATTCTCACACTGGAGCTGGCATCAGAATCACCTGGAGGGCTTGCTGAAGCACAGGCTCTGGCCCAGGACTTTCTCATATAGTGGATCTGGAGGGAGGCCTGAGCATAGCGTTTTTGTTTTGCTTTGTTTTTAGATGGAGTCTCTCTCTGTCGCCCAGGCTGGAGTGCAGTGGTGTGATCTCGGCTCACTGCAACCTCTGCGTCTCGGGTTCAAGCCATTCTCCTTCCTCAGCCTTCCAAGTAGCTGGAACTAAAGGCATGCGCCACCACGCCTGGCTAATTTTTGTATTTTTAATAGAGACGGGGTTTCGCCATGTTGGCCAGTTTAGTCTTGAACTCCTGACCTAAAGTGATCCACCCGCCTCGGCCTCCCAAAGTGCTGGGATTACAGGCGTGAGCCACTGCTCCCGGCCGTGCATAAATGTTTTTAATATGTTCTGTGTGGTGCCGATGCTACTGCTTGCAGGATCCCCCTTAGTGGAGCACTCCCTTAGCGTGTAGGGTGTGCTGTACGTGGGGTGGGAGATTTAGCGGTGGGCGGCTGCAGTTATCAGTAGATGGCTGTTTGTTGGACCCAGACTACTGATGCGCTTCTGGGCATTGCCACTTTGCAATTGTGTAGCTGTGGGCCGTGACTCGACTCCCTAGTGCCTCAGTTTCTCCCTTGTAAAGGTTCAGTTTCGTGCTCCCACCTTATGAGGACCTGACGCTGAAGTGTGTAGCGCAGGGGGGCGTCATGGCCCTTCCTTGCGTGTTTGCCAGTGTGGCATCTGGGATGGTGTTTGGGCTCTGTGTGCTGGGCACCATGCCAGGTGTTGGGATAGAGACTTAGGAGCTTACAGTCTAGTAAGGTCAGGAGTGAGAATGTTGTAATTGTGATTCACGCTTTGAAAAAATCCTGTAGGGTGCACCTGGGGTGCTCACGGGGGTCAGAGATGCACCTGCTGAGTCCTTCCCACCTGCTTCTGTTGCTCTGGACCAGGCCCCAAGGGAGAGCAAAGGTAGAAGCTGCACACGGACCCTTCTCAGGAGTGCATGAGCTGGGGAGGAGGCAAGCCCATCCCTCCTGGGAGATCCCCCAGGGCAGGCCTGGTGCAGATGCGTGAACGGCCTCGTTGGCTGCTGGAAGGGTGTCCTCAGTGTAAAGATGAGTAGGCAAAGCCCTGTGTGCCCGAATTGTCCTCACTGAGCAGACAGGAGCCCCCACACCCAGGGGCTGGCGAGAGCCTCTGTAATGGAGGCCATGTTGAGCCAGGTTTTACTTCCAGGTTGGGAGGCGGGGCTTTCATGCTCCTCTCCAATCCCATTACCTGTCTGCTCCCCCCTGTCTGCAGCCAGCATTGTCCTCCTGGAGCCGGAATGTGACACATCACTCCCTGGCAGGCATGTCTTCAGGGTGCCAAACCCACTCCCTGGCTCAGGTCCAGGTGTCCAGGGCTGCATCCCAGCCCTGCGGCCTCTCTGCCCAGTGGAGCCTTTGCCCGTGGGCCTTCCTCATGCTCTGTCCTCGGCGTCCAGGCTGGTGTTTTGGGTTTCAGGGGTCCTTTCCTGGGAGCCTTCCGTGGATCCCGCCTCTCGCCCATGCCTCTTATGTTGACTGGTTGTTTACAGATCAGACCTTCTGTGTCTGCAGTCATTGTTCTGGAGATTGGGGGTAAACTGAGGGTCTTAACTCTCACAGAGCAGAGGTTTTAGCTGGGGAGACGGGTAATAACTACTTAGTAAAATGCAGGGAGTGATGCACGCTCTAAGGACACCAGGGCAGGTCCCGCGCCAGGGGGAGCCTGGAAAGGCTCCCTGGTGAGCGAGGCACTGGAGGCCAGCGTAGCAGCGGAGGCAGGAGTGGAGACCTTGCCTCTCTGACTCACGTCCCCCTACCCTCTTGCCTTCCAGTGGACATCCTTATCATGGATGACGACGACGTCCCCAGCTGGCCTCCCACCAAGCTGTCCCCGCCCCAGTCTGCGCCCCCAGCCGGCCCCCCTCCCCGGCCGCGGCCGCCCGCCCCCTACATCTGCAACGAGTGTGGCAAGAGCTTTAGCCACTGGTCCAAGCTGACGCGGCATCAGCGCACGCACACCGGCGAGCGGCCCAACGCCTGCGCCGACTGCGGCAAGACCTTCTCGCAGAGCTCACACCTGGTGCAACACCGGCGCATCCACACGGGCGAGAAGCCCTACGCCTGCCTGGAGTGCGGCAAGCGCTTCAGCTGGAGCTCCAACCTCATGCAGCACCAGCGCATCCACACGGGCGAGAAGCCCTACACCTGCCCCGACTGCGGCCGCAGCTTCACGCAGAGCAAGAGCCTGGCCAAGCACCGGCGCTCGCACAGCGGCCTCAAGCCCTTCGTGTGCCCGCGCTGCGGCCGCGGCTTCAGCCAGCCTAAGAGCCTCGCGCGTCACCTGCGGCTGCACCCGGAGCTGTCGGGGCCCGGCGTGGCGGCCAAGGTGCTGGCGGCCAGCGTCCGGCGGGCCAAGGGGCCCGAAGAAGCGGTGGCGGCGGACGGCGAGATCGCCATCCCGGTGGGCGACGGCGAGGGCATCATCGTGGTGGGCGCGCCGGGCGAGGGGGCGGCGGCCGCGGCAGCCATGGCGGGAGCAGGGGCCAAGGCCGCGGGGCCCCGGTCGCGGCGCGCCCCGGCCCCCAAGCCGTATGTGTGTCTGGAGTGCGGGAAGGGCTTCGGGCACGGGGCCGGGCTCCTGGCGCACCAGCGGGCCCAGCACGGGGACGGGCTCGGGGCGGCGGGGGGCGAGGAGCCGGCCCACATCTGCGTGGAGTGCGGGGAGGGCTTCGTGCAGGGCGCCGCGCTCCGGAGACACAAGAAGATCCACGCCGTGGGCGCGCCCTCGGTCTGCAGCAGCTGCGGACAGAGCTACTACCGGGCCGGGGGGGAGGAGGAGGAGGACGACGACGACGAGGCCGCGGGAGGGCGGTGCCCCGAGTGCCGCGCTGGGGAGGGCCGGTAGGGGAGGGGCCCGGGGGGGGGGGCAGGGCCCCTCGGGCTTGGCGGGAACGACCATGTGCAAGACCAAGAGACCCAGGGAGAAGCGGATGGGGTGCGATGGACCCCGCGGCGTCCCGAGCCCCACGCCCTCCTCTGTCCCCGTGCCGTCCACGTGGGGCACTGGGGGGCATTAGGGCCAGTTCACTTCTCCGCCTCGACTCTGCCCCCCTCAGCCTGGCCCGCCCTTCCTAGGTTCTCGGCCTGCGAGCCGGAGACAGACAATGGAGAGAATTGGAGAGGCCGAGCGGCTACCAGGCCTCAAGTGGAAGGCCATTTTCCCTCCTCTTCCTCAGTTGTCCTGGGTGGGGGTGGGGGTGCTGCGAGGAATGGAGAAACCAGGCCCGTTGCGTTTAGAGGGTCCCAGAGAGGGAAGGGAAATAGGGGCCCTTTTCTTTTAGAGTTTTCTTTTATTCAGCCCACCTTTTGACTCTCCCCGCCCACCCCAATCCATTTTTTTTTTCCGGCTTCCGGGTCCCGTCCTTTCTTAGAGCTCGAGTCGTTCCTTCCCCTCCTGGATTCCGGGTAGCAGAGGTGGCCCCTGTGCCCCGCAGAGCCCCGCAGGAGGCGGGTGCCCGTTTATCCCAGGCCTGGGCGTGGTGGAGGAAGGGGTGCTAGAACAATAAATAGCACTATCCAAACGTCCCTCTGCGTGGTTCTTGAGTCCGGGAGAAGGGCAACAGGGGTAAACAGAGGCTTCCGCTGGGGCAGCAGCAGAGTGTCAGCTGCGCCCGGGGAGTGGCCAGTTGGGTCACCCGCGGAGGGCCCTGGGCAGGGTGACCTGTCCTGAGATCGCCTCACTGCAATAAGGGCGCTCACAGGGCCTGGGAGCCCCTTGTAGATGGGGCAGGGTGGACTGGTCGGGGCCAGGCCTGCTCACTGCAGTGGAAGGAGCCCCGCGGCCTCAGCTGCCCTCTCACAGGGGCAGCTGGCTTCCTCCACTCCTATCGTGTGGCGGCTGCCGCCGCTGACCCCAAAAGTGGCTGGGGGAGAGGGCAGGGATGGCACAGTCCAGCTGAGTGCTTAGGGCAATTCACACAGCGCGCCAGCCTGACGGACCTGGTCCCATAGAGCCGCTGCAGCCGCCCTGCCAGATGAGCGCTGCTGTTCATTATCAGAACGGGGCTCTACCACGGCAACTGGTTTCCCAGACCCATAGCCCCAGTCCTGAGGACCCATGTTCCTGGGGGCTTGGGAGGCCACAGGGAGGGTCCCAACGGGGTATTTTCAACCTGGCTGAAGGCTGCAATTACTCAGGAGCGATTGGAGGCGGCAAGCTGCAGGCATCTTTGACTTGGGGGTTTCATAGCAGAGGGGTACTCGAAGGAGAAATGTGGATTTCCAGTTAGAGCTCTTGATCTGCCCTTTCACACCCTGATGTGCTTGAGCAGAGCCTCACCTGGAGGATAGGGGCTCAGAAACCAGGGCCGCTGATGGTGTACAGATCCTGGAGGATTTGTTAGAGGACGAGGGAGGGGCCATGGGTGAGATAAGCATGCTCTCAAGTGGCCACACTGCCTTGCTTAGGTAATTGGTACTGCATGTCAGTTTACTTTGAAATTTCAGGTCACTTAAAAGGAGGGGGTGAACCTTGGTGGTTCAGAGTGGGCTGGGTTAGCAAAGACTGAGGAAGCATTGCTCAGCGCTCCTAGGGTCCTTCTGTGGAGCTCTGGCCTTGGGCACTTCTCGAGGCCTGGGAGGATGGGAGGCGCCCTGTCTAGTAGAACTGGCAGCTCGGTGCCTTGTTAAGTTGGGCACACAGTCTTGGGCCAGCCTCCTCCTCTACCTGCCCCAGGATATGGTGGCAGGAGCTGACACCTAAAGCAAGAAAGATTCAGGGCCAGTTTTAACCCTGCCTCTTAAGGCTGTGTGACCCTGGGCAAGTGGACTAACCTCTCTGACCCTTGGCTTCCTTGCCCTGTGGAAAGAAGAGCTTGCCTGCCTTGTGTGCCTGTTTGTGGAGGGGGGGATCCCCAAGCCATGTGTTAAGTCACTAGAGCTGCCCTCCCAGGCATGAGCAGAGATGCAGGGGCGAGGAGCCAGGCTCAAATCCCGGCTCTGCACTACTCATCCCCCTTCATAATACAGAACTCAGCGAGTTCACATGACCGCCATGACACCAGACTGCACCGGACCCAGCGCTAGACCTGTGCTTTGGTGTCATACGCCATCTGCCACCGATTCATGCACTCAGGTAGTCATCGCCCACCCCTCACTCATTCCACAAATGTGTTCAGGGCAGCAACTCCGTGCCCAGTGAGCGTGGCACGGGTCCAAGTTAAAGGAATGTGGGTTCCCGTGGCACTTGCGTCAGCCCTGTACCGCACCTGCATTGGAGCTGCTCACCCACGGCAATGTGAGGCTGGGCAGCGGCTTCATGTCACGAATCCACTGTGGCAGTGACCACAGAAGTTCCTTTGGCCCCCACTCCTCTCCTGCTCACTTTGGTGGAGGGCATGCGCAGACTCATTCACGCCCCTTATCGGAGTCCAGTCCTCGCAAAGGCCCTGTGTGGTCGGCCTCATTCCTCGGCTGCTGCTGCTGAAGCTGGTGTAAGGAGAGGAAGCAGTCTGCCCAGGCTACTGGTTTGTAAAGTGGTAGAACCTGAATCTGGATCTAAAGTCCCGACACCCATGCCCCCCACCCCAGCCCCCTGCTGAGTTGATGATCCACTTAGATGTTTCTCAGGCACTTCTTTCCTGCGAGGGACTCTACTAAGCATGGGGGCACAGCAGTGACCTCACTGCAGTGGAAGGAGCCCCGCGGCCTCAGCTGCCCTCTCACAGGGGCAGCTGGCTTCCTCCACTCCTATCGTGTGGCGGCTGCCGCCGCTGACCCCAAAAGTGGCTGGGGGAGAGGGCAGGGATGGCACAGTCCAGCTGAGTGCTTAGGGCAATTCACACAGCGCGCCAGCCTGACGGACCTGGTCCCATAGAGCCGCTGCAGCCGCCCTGCCAGATGAGCGCTGCTGTTCATTATCAGAACGGGGCTCTACCACGGCAACTGGTTTCCCAGACCCATAGCCCCAGTCCTGAGGACCCATGTTCCTGGGGGCTTGGGAGGCCACAGGGAGGGTCCCAACGGGGTATTTTCAACCTGGCTGAAGGCTGCAATTACTCAGGAGCGATTGGAGGCGGCAAGCTGCAGGCATCTTTGACTTGGGGGTTTCATAGCAGAGGGGTACTCGAAGGAGAAATGTGGATTTCCAGTTAGAGCTCTTGATCTGCCCTTTCACACCCTGATGTGCTTGAGCAGAGCCTCACCTGGAGGATAGGGGCTCAGAAACCAGGGCCGCTGATGGTGTACAGATCCTGGAGGATTTGTTAGAGGACGAGGGAGGGGCCATGGGTGAGATAAGCATGCTCTCAAGTGGCCACACTGCCTTGCTTAGGTAATTGGTACTGCATGTCAGTTTACTTTGAAATTTCAGGTCACTTAAAAGGAGGGGGTGAACCTTGGTGGTTCAGAGTGGGCTGGGTTAGCAAAGACTGAGGAAGCATTGCTCAGCGCTCCTAGGGTCCTTCTGTGGAGCTCTGGCCTTGGGCACTTCTCGAGGCCTGGGAGGATGGGAGGCGCCCTGTCTAGTAGAACTGGCAGCTCGGTGCCTTGTTAAGTTGGGCACACAGTCTTGGGCCAGCCTCCTCCTCTACCTGCCCCAGGATATGGTGGCAGGAGCTGACACCTAAAGCAAGAAAGATTCAGGGCCAGTTTTAACCCTGCCTCTTAAGGCTGTGTGACCCTGGGCAAGTGGACTAACCTCTCTGACCCTTGGCTTCCTTGCCCTGTGGAAAGAAGAGCTTGCCTGCCTTGTGTGCCTGTTTGTGGAGGGGGGGATCCCCAAGCCATGTGTTAAGTCACTAGAGCTGCCCTCCCAGGCATGAGCAGAGATGCAGGGGCGAGGAGCCAGGCTCAAATCCCAGCTCTGCACTACTCATCCCCCTTCATAATACAGAACTCAGCGAGTTCACATGACCGCTATGACACCAGACTGCACCGGACCCAGCGCTAGACCTGTGCTTTGGTGTCATACGCCATCTGCCACCGATTCATGCACTCAGGTAGTCATCGCCCACCCCTCACTCATTCCACAAATGTGTTCAGGGCAGCAACTCCGTGCCCAGTGAGCGTGGCACGGGTCCAAGTTAAAGGAATGTGGGTTCCCGTGGCACTTGCGTCAGCCCTGTACCGCACCTGCATTGGAGCTGCTCACCCACGGCAATGTGAGGCTGGGCAGCGGCTTCATGTCACGAATCCACTGTGGCAGTGACCACAGAAGTTCCTTTGGCCCCCACTCCTCTCCTGCTCACTTTGGTGGAGGGCATGCGCAGACTCATTCACGCCCCTTACGGAGTCCAGTCCTCGCAAAGGCCCTGTGTGGTCGGCCTCATTCCTCGGCTGCTGCTGCTGAAGCTGGTGTAAGGAGAGGAAGCAGTCTGCCCAGGCTACTGGTTTGTAAAGTGGTAGAACCTGAATCTGGATCTAAAGTCCCGACACCCATGCCCCCCACCCCAGCCCCCTGCTGAGTTGATGATCCACTTAATCTTAGATGTTTCTCAGGCACTTCTTTCCTGCGAGGGACTCTACTAAGCATGGGGGCAGAGCAGTGACCTCAACAGGCACAATCTCTGCTGTCATGGGGGCTGGGAGTGGCTAGGAGGGGACACACACAGCTAAGGGCTGAAGGGACAAAGAGAGACTCCCAGGAGGCAGGAAGTGAAGGAGTCCTGGGCATGGAGCAGGTGTGACAGGCAATTCCAGGGGAGTGGGGGCCAGATGGGTGAGTAGAAAGGGACCCTCCACCCAGCTTACTCCCCAGCCTGAAGGCAGAGTTTATCTGGAAATGTTTACTCCGTATATCCCCGTTTCCCTAAGGGTAGCCTAGAGAGTGTTCCAGGGAATATTGACAAGATGTTTGGAGAAAACAGGATCTTGTGTTCAAATAACCTGAGAAGAGACTGGATTCAGTTTTTTTTTTTTTTTTTTGACAGAGTTTCACTCTGTCACCCAGGCAGGAGTGCAGTGGTATGATCTTGACTCAAGCAATTCTGTTTCAGCCTCCCATAGTAGCTGGGATTACAGGCACCCGCCACCACACCCGGCTCATTTTTGTATTTTTAGAAGAGATGGGGTTTCACCATGTTGATCAGGCTTATCTTGAACTCCTGCCCTCAGGTAGTCCACCCACCTCGGCCTCCCAAAGTGCTGGGAGCCACCACGCCCCGCCGGATTGAAGTTTTCTCATACACAGACCAGTACTTGGCAGGTGGAAGGTGCTGAGCCAAGATTCAGTTGACTGGATGAATTATAAAACTAGCTCCCCACACACCCACCCGGCCCAGAGCTTTTCACTATGATTCCGTATAACTGGGTGGGGCTGGGGGCCAGGGCAGGGGTAGGTGATAACATGCAGCATTTTCTGAACTTGTTCTGTCAGAAAACCTTCCATTTATAGAGCATCTTGGGGCTAGTGTTCTCCAGGCCATCCTTAGAGAAGTGCATGCATGTGAATTCTGTGTGTGTCTGCATGTACGAGTGCTTGTATGTCTCCGTGTGGATGGTGTGTCTATCTTTGTGCATATGTATGTCTGTGTGCATGGGGGTATGTATGTGTGTGTCTGGTATATATCCACCCATCCTCATATCTA